TGAAACAGTGTTTGTTAATTTTTGGATCCCATGGCCCTAACTAAAGTGAATTCGAAATGGGTATTTAGTGGGATTGAAAGGGGTAGTAATAAGTGTTTCTTTAAGATTGTGCGAGATAGAAGTAAAGATGTTTTATTAAGTTATTTATTTTACCTGGTACCTTGCTGTGAACTATAAGTATGATTTTAAAGATCCTGAAACAGAAATATTATCGGACACGTAATCAAGATTCTGAAGAAGATTAGGTAAGTTAGTATTTTTAATTATTTGAGGATATTATTTTTATGCATTGTTCTAAATGTAAGGTGGAAGTAAAGTAATTTGCGTAAACGTGCACGGAAATAATTTAAATATTTGACACTAAGTATTTGTAACCATTTGTAGTGTTTGCGGTATGAATTAGTTAGTGACGTTTGTAATATAATAGATAATGTAGAGGTAAAAGTTTTTGGATATTTTATTTATTTTATACGGGGAAATGTTCATATTTGGAAAGGGTATATACTTTTTCGCGATCAGGTAATTTCATATATGTTCTTTTTACCGGGTTTAAAGATTCAGAAAATTGTTATGCATTTTCGTGAATTTTTTCTAATTTATGAGAAAAAAGCAGTGTACATGGATATAGTGAAGAGTGTGCGCAATGCCATTTTTGTGCAATTCTGGGATGTTTTTTTAAGTAAAAATAAGTTGACGTGTACATGGTTTATGTGTATGTGTTATTTTGAAAAACGCGTAAGGAGTATGGTATTGTGCCCTTTTTCCCAAATTTGGAGTGAATATTTGTCATGATGAAGCAGTTTTGTTAGACAAAATTTCTAGCATAAGTGTAATTCGGCTAGTAGATTGTTGGAAGAAGTGTTCAGTAGATAAAAAGAAAAGAAACATGTCTTTACTTCGTGAAGACAAAATGGCGGCGGGAAAAAAAAAAATAGAGGGTTGCTGTAGGAGAGTTGGTCGCCAAATTTTCGCCAAAAAATCACCAAGTTACCATAATGTAAAGATCAACCGTTTGTAGCTTTGAGGTCCGGATTATGGGTGTACGAATTAACGACTTTTGACTGTATTAAAAGCTGCTGTAAAGCATTGTTTGTGAAATGCATACTTAAGGAAACAAAAAAGTAGAATTTTTAAAATGTGTATTGTTGAAATCAAAAGGGGAAAAAATTGGTAAATATTAAAAGAATTATTTCCTTACATTTTATAATAATTCTGGGTACTTTTCCATTTCGCCGGCGCAAATCTCGCCAAGCAGACTTTATCGGCGGCAACATACAATATACACAAATAAAAAATGGCTACTATTCCGTTTTGAGGACCCTAAAAAATTGCAGCGAAAATGGATGCACAAAACCAGCCAAATCTAACAAACGTGCACATTTAACAGCACGCCAAATCTAGCGTACACCTGATTTAAAATTGCGCAAGTTTAGATAGTTCTATATTTCTTAAGACGCCATTGAACTAAAAGTTTAATTTTTAAATCCCTTTTTTGATATCCTATGGATTTAACAATTTGGGAATTGCCCATGACAAAAAGTCTGCAATACAATTTTTTCAAAGAAAAGGAATCATTCATTATAGAAAATTATGTTTGAACAACCAACAAGATGAAATTATGCTTTAGCGATAACTCGGTAGCGAAACAGCGATGCAGGAATCCATTCAAATATGTTTAGCCTTTTCATATAAATTATAATAATGGGTTGATCTTCGGATAATGGTACTTGGTGATTTCTTGGCGAAAATTTGGCGACCAACTCTGCTACAGCAACCCTCTATTTTTTTTTCCCACATTTTGTCTTCACAAAGTAAAGACATGTTTCTTTTCTTTTTATCTACTGAACACTTTTTCCAACAATCTACTAGCCAAATTACACTTATACTAGAAATTTTATCTAACAAAACTGCTTCATCATGACAAATATTCACTCCAAAATTGGAAAAAAGTGCCCAATCGCAAACTCCTTGCGCGTTTTTCACAATAACACATACACATAAACCATGTACACGTCAATTTATTTTTACTTAAAAAAAATCCCAGAATTGCACAAAAATGGCATTGCACACACTCTCCACTATATCCATGTACACTGCTTTTTTCTCATAAATTAGAAAAATTTCACGAAAATGCATGACAATTTTTCTGAATCTTTAAAACCCGATAAAAAGAACATATATGAAATTACCTTATCGCGAAAAAGTATATACCCTTTCCAAATGAACCATGAACATTTCCACGTATAAAATAAATAAAAATATCTAAAAAAACTTTTACCTCTAAATTATCTATTATATTATAAACGTCACCAACGAATTCATACTGCAAACATTACAAATACTTAGTGTCAAATATTTAAATTATTTCCATGCACGTTTACTTCAACTAAAAAACGTATACCAAATTCCTACAAACAAAATTCACAAATAACTATCATTTAATTAAATATCATTAAATCCATGTACACGTCGACTACTATTTTTTACTTAAAAAAAATCCCAGAATTGCACAAAAATGGCATTGCGCACACTCTTCACTATATCCATGTACACACTGCTTTTTTTTTCTCATAAATTAGAAAAATTTCACGAAAATGAATGAAAATACTCAACGTATACTACTCAAAATATATTCCAAAATACTACAAACATATAACTCACACAAAATCACGATCATTAAATTAAATATAAATTAAATTAAAAAACACTACATCAAATATAAATAAGCACATACATTAAATTAATAAAAAATAGATTACAATCCTAATTACTTTAACCTAAATCATTGCTAATAACAATTTTCAAATAATACCATTTTAATTTATTTACTCCTTACATTTAGAACAATGCATAAAAATAATGTCCTCAAATGATTAAAAATACTAACATGCCTAATCTTCTTCAGAATCTTCATTACGTCGCTGCAGTACTACTGCTAATTTCTAAATCCTAAATCCAGTAGTCAACTGGAAGTCTATTCACCAAGTAATAAGAAATTAATAAAATTTTCACCTATACTCAAACTACTTTTCAGCAAACCACGTACCCTGCCTTACACTCCTTTTCACAAAATGTCCATTTGCACCATATTTCTTGCACGGCCATTTAAACTCCTAATATCTTTCCTTTCACACAATCTCAACTTATTATTATTATCAGATAAACACATTAAAAATTTAGAATTCACTTTACATAGCACCATGCAATCCGAAAATTAATCAACACTATTTCACACAACACACAATGAAGCTTTTCCAAATTAACCCCCTTTAACTGTAATTCGTTCATTAATGTAAGGTTTCAAACAAAACAGAATATAGCTAAATACGAAATTTTGCCCCTTTTCCGATTAAACAACTGTAATTCGTTCATTAATGTCACATGACATATCTCATGATCTCTCATTTCCCTCACACAAAATAATGCGTAATCGGAACTGAGTGCTTCTCACATTATTACCAAAGTCCTAGGTAGTAACCTTTATCGCCTCCAAAATGTCGCCAAACTACCAGTTACCATATTCCAAAGATCAGCCTAATAATGATCTGAAATAGTTATTTATTCTTATGCTTCCATTCAGTTATGTTTAGAATTTTTCATATAAATTATAATGATAAAAAAGTATTATATGAAATTAATCTTTCATATAAATTAAAACAATAATCTTTAGATAGTTATTTATTATTATACTTCCTTTCTTGCGTCAGGGTTGCCGCAATTATGTTTGGCAGCACTGGCATCAATAATAGTTGGCGATTTTTACGGTCCTTAAAATGGAATAGCACCAAAAAATGTTAACGAATGTTAGTTTTAAGAATTTTTTATTTTGAAGGCATAATCATTTTAATATCGTTTAAAATTTTGTAAAAAGCCAAGAAATAAAGACAATACATTTGTACTGATTGGGGGAAAAAGCAGTTCAGGTCTCTCTATTTCCTACCTACATGCACCAACATGTCGAGAAGATTTCGCGGTGCACCCTTGCTGCCTAGATAACACACATTTAAAAACATCATGCCTTCTGGGGAATTAGGGCCCTTCAGTTAGCGTCACTAACTACTATCAAGTCTGGGTGGTTATATTAATAAGCACTGCATTTTTTTAACATTTAGTTTTAGGTTTAATCCTTGTACACAGGATTTGGCAACATTATGATGATCAGTAAACGCAGTGTTTATGATGAGCAGTAAATGAGCATTTTGGTACTCGTGACAATTTACAAAATCGCACCCACACCGTACCGCATACTAGGATTTTACCCATGGATACCGCGTATGTGCAACTCTTAAAAATGCGCCAAGCAGTGGGCAATTCTGCACTTTACCGAAAATATTACTGTGCGTGATTTCCCTTAAGCAAGTAATGTATAAGATGTAAGTTTATTCAAGAAACGTAGCTATATAGATTTTTAGAAGGGTTGTGAATTTGTGTTATAGTATATAAATGAACAAAATGGAAGTTGTAATTTGAGGTAAAATCCTAGTATACGGTGCAGCCTTGGCGCGACTTTGAAAATTATCGCCAACACCAAAAATGATCCAAAGTATGTCTATATATATATATATATACTATACATTATATACTATGTGTGTATATAATACATAGTATATACTATGTTTAACTATATATTTTCTTTGAATGACCCGTTAACTACTCATCGCAATGTCCGGTTTTTACTGCTCATCATAAAGTCGCCAAATCCCGTGTGCACCGGATACTAGGATTAACCTATCCATGTACACGTCGACCTATTTTCACATAAAAAAACACCCCAGAATTGCACAAAAATGGCATTGCGCACACTCTTGACTTTATTCCTGAACACATCGACCTATTTTCTTTTAAAAAGTCAAAGAAAATTGACAAAAATCCAATTCTTCTTACTCTTGTAATAAGCGCCAAGCAAATAAGTGGGCGATTCTGCCCTTTAGGCAAATTTTCTTACAACTAATTTCAAAAACAATCAAAATCAGTTTAAGAAAATATAGCTAAAATCTTACATTTCAATTTACCACCGATTTATGCAAGCAATGAAGTATAACAAGCTGCGTATACGGATTATAATGAGTCCTTATACTCCGTGGTTGCGTATAAACAATAACACTTCATCTTCCAGTTGTATCCGTTAAATCTTTCTGCCCGTAGGGATGGAAAAAAATCTAGGTGAGCAAGAAGGGAGAAGTAATATTCGTAAAAAATATACATCAGTTTTAAATAAAATACTTTTTTTTTTCAAATAAAAACAGAAAATGCATAAAAAGAATTCAGATCTTATGATCAGGGAGCACAAATTTACGCTAATATCGCATGCAAACGCTTTGAACGTATAACTTGTCAAGTGTTAAAATGCCCAACTACAAGCTCTGCGGACGAACAGCCGGGTTTTTTCAGAACCCAGTGGCTCTGAACGTAAACAAAGATTTAGACATGGTCTGCTCCTGACGACAGTTTTTCAATCGGTATGAAGAATTTTAAGCTTCTGCTGCATGGAAAGAATTTCAGCGGTAAGAAGAATTACACAGATATTAAATTTTTAAGTTATCTTTTTAAAGACTGCAGATATGTTATGAACGTTACATAATTTGTGCTGACAAATATCTTCAAAACTGTATAGAGTTACTGATGTTATTTGTTGAACTTCTGTTTTGATTTCGAGGAACATTGATAAATTGGAAAATTCTGCTTTTTTATTATGTGCCTTGATTTTGGGGTAATTATCATATCTGAGGACTTTATATTTTCAGAAGAGACTCTCTTGATAAGTTCTAAAGATTACCCAACTCTTCGTATTGGTGATATCGTTGAAATAAATTCTACTGATGTCATTTGCAGGTATAGTTACTTATACAACATTTTATAATTTCATCGGCTTATTTAAATAATCAATTTATTTTTTGTGTAAATTTACGTAATTGTATTTAATATCATGGTATTATTCGGTATCGAGGGCCGTAAAAAATCGCCAAACTATTGTTAATGCCAATGCTGCCAAAAATAATTGCGGCAAGAAAGGAGGTATAATAGTAAATAACTATCTAAGATTGATGTTTTTTAATTTAATTTATTTCTTTTATTACTTTTTTCTTTTTTTTTTTTTAAATCCTTTTTGGATATCCTATGGATTTAACATTTGGGAATTGCCCATGACGAAAACTCGGCAATAGAATTTTTGTGTAAAGTGCAGAATAACCCACTGTTTGACGCATTTTTAAGAATGCACATACTTGGTATCCATGTGCACATTGACCTATTTTCACTTAAAAAAAAAATCCTAAATTGCAAAAATGCCACTGCACACAACCCTTGACTTTATCTGTGTACACATCGACCATTTCACTTAAAATTAAAAAGAAAAACAAAAATCCAATTGTTTTTACCTTGTAAAAAGCGGCAAAACAATAAGTGAGCGATTCTGTATTTTACCGAGAATATTTTCAAAGAAAAGGCATCATTCATTATAGAAAATTACGTTTGAACAACAACGGATGAAATTATGCTTTAGCAATAAGTCGGTAGCAAAATAGCGATGCAGGCATCCATTCAGTTTATGTTTAGCAATTTTTATATAAATTATAATGATCTGAATAGTTATTTACTCTTATGCTTTCCATTTCAATGTTAGCCTTTTTCATATAAATTATAATAATAAAAAGTATTTATATGAAATTAAACCTTTCATCTAAATTAAAAACATCAATCTTAGATAGTTTATTTACTATTATACTTCCTTTCTCGTCGCAATTATTAGGGTTGCCGCAATTATTTTTGGCAGCATTGGCATCAACAATAGTTTGGCGGTTTTTTACGGCCCTCAAAACCGAATAGTACCAAAAAAAAAGAAAAAAAACTGTAATTGAATTGAATATTAAGTTATATATTCTAATTTTCAGCCCTCTTTTGTTAGAAGTTACATCATTTTGCAATGATATGCAACAGAAAGGTATGTATTTAGAAATGCTTTATCAAATTTTAATTAAGTACTGTAGAGTTCTGATTATGTGAGCCATTATTAGGTGATTATATCAAATAAGATTATTGTATAATATTGTTGCTAGAGCATTTATAAGATTAATTCATTCACAAGACGTTTGAAATATAGCTGCAGTCAAATCATTTTCAAATATTTTTCTCTTTTTTTTTTTTTCCTTCTTTCTCCACCTCCCTTTTTTGTGATATTATCAGGATAAGTCTTATTAATTAGTGCAGGATTGTAGCTTTTCAGCTACATGCCTGTTCAGATTAAAGTAAAAAGAGGATATAAAATTCCTTAAAAGGGAGATATTTCAGAAGAATAAATAAAAATATTGAAGAATTAAAAAGCACACATGGTTAGAAATGAATGTGAAAAGTTCCAGGTTGATATGCTCGAAGTGTTAATGTAAGTAAAAATAAGAGCTGTTACAAACAACTCATCTGCTGTATCAGCCAGAGCTGGAATCATGTTCTCCTTTTCTTTTGCTGCAAGGCTTCTGTACTTCTCAAAATCGATGTCTAGATATATAGTAAGATGAAAGGAAAATCTACTGTAGGGTTCCTGTCTTTTATTCTATTAAACTAAGTGTGAAACTTTGAAATCATTGAGTTTGTTAATCAAAAATTCATTAAAAGTTTTACAAAATATTAAATCGATTACAAAACAAATTCCATGTTTCAAATTTGGCTTTCCAAATGCCCATATTCACAGGAGGATTACATTATTCAAAATTTGATGGCTCCAGGTACCGTTGTTTTATCACAATGTGAGAACATTTATGCAGATTCTTCATTATTTAATTTCTTTAAATGTGACACAGGGCTCTGATGTTGGTGCCAACAATTTGAAAAGTGATTCCGCCGTTCATAGTGAATCAACGCAAAGTGCCAAAATGAAATTAATAGCCCTTCTATGTTAACACACTTTGGGCTAAAAAAAGGGGCAAAGTATTTTATAAAAGAAAATAAATTTTATGAAAAAATTTATATAAATTTTATGTATGTCTGATATTTATATTTTTAGAATATGCAATGCTGTCCTGTTAAATATAAAATGTATAAATCCATATATAGTCAAATATGTGTGTGATACAGGCATGCAGGTGTTAGTTGCCATTGGATGAATCCACTAAATACATGATAAACATGGTAGTTCAACCAGTTAATCAAAACTGGAGTTGTGGATAATCAGAGAACACCAAGTTATTATTTATGATGTGTACTAGGCATGTTTATTGCAAATTAATTAATTAATCGCATTAATGATAAATAGTGGAAAAAATGATATAATTGAATATTTCCTCATTTTTTCTCCCCATAAAATATGTGACTCTCGTCCACATCTTATGATTTCTGTATTTAAATATTAAATTATATATGTATACATTGATTATTTTATTAATTTTTGCAGGTTGTATTAGCATTGATCAATCAATAGCAAATAATTTTCAATTAAAACACTATAGTGAAGTTACTGTTAAAGTCATTGAGAATTTAAAAGTGAGTATTTTCCATTTTTTTAATACTTTTTGATGATTGTGTGCTTATACAAGGTGATTAAAAGAAATGGGAAATTTTGAAAGTTGTGTTGGCAGCAGTGGCCATTTGGTAACACTGAATAACATACGCCAGCCTGCCAATGACACTGTACCATTTAAATATGACACAGGGTTTAGTTATCATGAATGCTTAGAGTGGCATGCAATGTGCTTTTGCGATCAAAGCATTTTACAAGAACAATGACAGTGCGGAAGGGGTACATAGAGAGTTTTGCTGTCATTTTAATTTTTAGACGCCATGATCATGTTCCAGTAGCACATGCAATTAAAACATGGATAGGTACTTTTGAGCAAACTGGTTCGGCAATGAATGGTTCACAAAAAAAAAAAAAAAAAAAAAAAAATATGTAAACCGTTTATATGCCAGACAATATCCAAACTGTTTAAGATGCTGTCATAAGAAGTCCACATCAGTCAATGTGCCACTACTCAGCATCTTTACAGAAATCCGAGAAGTAAATGATGAAATTTCAGTTGAGATGTTACGTCAACCATGAAAAGTGTAACGAAGAGACTGCAGGAATGTTTGTGTAGAAAAGGAGCTTGCCTGCAAGGTGTCATCTAAAAAAATAAATAAATTGTATTGTATGTATTCTAAAATGGCATTATTTTTACTCCTAAATGAGGCAAATAATTTTTTTAAACAACTTTTTTTCATGAAATTACTTATTTTTCAAAATTTCCCATTTTTTAAATCACCCTGTATATATTCTGTAATATCATATGTTATACTGCTTTGTTAATGTTATATATTGATTAGAGATATTTCACCTTTTGAAAAGCATAAATGTTTAGTTATGTTACAAGAACTGAGGGGCAATTTCTTACTAACTAGGTACTTAAAGCTAACTCTCACCCCTCAGTATTATCTTAAAGCTATGATTTGAATTATCACTTGTAGCTTAATTTAACAGAGCAAACACAAGTATAAAAATAAGTAGAACTTTGATTTGATTTTATCTTACCACCCTGAGTTTAAAATTTAAATATTACAAAAATGTAAGTCTTTTTGATTTAACAAAGAATATCATGTACAACTTTACTTGGTTACAATATAAGTAATTCAAGCAATCAAGGCCACAATAATCTGATCTGGACAACTTAAAATTTAAATCAAGATTAATATAACAGTTTAGCAAATAGCTGGTGAATCTAGTTCACTATAGCAGCTATATTCTGTGAATAGCAGAGACACACAACATCTGTTTACACAGCCAAATATCTATTACAACTCATACAATTATGAATTCTTTCCTTCAATTTATACTAAAATGCTAGCCAATAAAAAATTTCTTGGACTGAGTGAGCATGTGACGAAATGAGTCGTAAAGGAAAGATGCAAATCAAAATTTTAACTGTTAGTCGAATTCAGTGTCACACTCCCTATTTCCAGAGAAGAAACTTTGATTTATAAGTCCTCCAACGCACTTTATGAAAACTTACCTAACTTCTAAATTTTGACCTGATTGTAGCTTTCTCACAGTTTCACATTCTTTCTACATCCTTCCTAATGCACATGGAAGGAAAAGGAAAAAAATCTTGTGATATTTATACACAAGACCACATTTAATTTTACTATCATGCATTCATTACCTCACAAGCTAATTATGTGCGATCATTCCTGAAATTATATAGCCTCATTTTCTGTATTTCTGCTAAAGCAGCCATCAAAGTGTGTATGATGTGTTGTTTGTGTATAACTACCCCTAATCCATACTGTACCAGATGTTGATACTGAGTGACTCTGGCACTACAAAGCTACTCAAATGTCTGAAAACAGGTAACATTTTACTTACAAATATTGGCCATATAAAATATTTCTGTTTTTGAAATTCTTGATCTTTCAAATCTCCATTACAGAATTTAAAAGTAAGAAATTTTCCTCTCAGTCTTCAATGCAAATGTAAAGCAATATAACTTTTATATCTTTCCAGATTTATTGCTGATCTCTACCATTTGAAATTTACATTTACTAGAACATTTGCAACTGATTGGAATTGCTTAAAATGCACATTTGTTAACATCACCTTAGTTTTGAAATAACATTTCAGTTGAAATATTAAGAAAAAGGAATTTTTTGCTTGTCTTTTGCTTTTCATTTTTACTGGAATGTTCATTTTTCATACCATCTCTGAAGGTCTGCTGTTATCACTCTGGTAGCTTTCAAACTGTGTCACTTATAGATTGCTTCCATCACTCGGGCAGCTTTTGAACTCTGTTACTCGTGGACTTCTTCACCTCATGATCCCTTGAACTTTGTAGTTTATAGGTTGTTTCCATCACCCTGTCTGCTAGACTGCTTCTATCACCCCAACATTTTTTGAATTCTGCATCGTTGCTGTTTGAACTCTCCTGAGCAAGCTAAATCTTTGGTAACTGAGCTCAGAATTCACTTGTTGCTATGTTTTTCATTTTGAGCCCTCCATATGGCAGATACACTCATTTTGGCTGTAACTGCTGCATTTCATCTCTGGTATGCTTGCACTTTTATCCATGCCCTTTTTGCCTCTTTCCTTGACACCACTGGTCGCTTGACTTTCTTGAATTAGAACTGTTAACTTTTTTTGGCAATATCTTGCTGCTGCTGCTGCCATATTTCTGCAAGCTATCTGACTCTTATGCTGACTTTGATTCTAATTCTTAACATCTGTCTTTTTTGCCACTGGGACCTGCTCACTATTCATCTCTCTTATTTTGGTTTCCTTAGTAGACTTTCTTCTTCATCCATGTCAGTCACCATTTTCCTGCTTACCTCTGACTGAACTTCCATTTCTTTCATAAGGGGCATGTCATCTCTATTATAGAATTTTTTTCAGTAAATCCACAGTCATGGAAATCATCTGCTCTTTCTTTCTGTGTAATATCTGTATATTTCTCTTAGTATTCTCAAGTACTTAAGGTAGATAGTACTTCAAATACTTAAGTAAATTTTAGATTACATGTCCCTAACTTTTCTGCTGATAAAAGCATATGGTTTACTTTTAATACCTTGTCCTCAGATTTTATATCACCTTATCTTTGCCTTTTACAATAATACAATTTTTGCTACACTAATTTTATCCAACATTTTGAGTGCCTCATAAATTAACTTTTGAATATGTGTCTGAATTCAGCTTTCCTTGCCTTATAAAATAACTTATTTCAGGATGTCTTAATATTTTAGCTTGAAAATAATTCTGTGACATTTTATCAGTTATGTTTAGCAGATTGCAGTGAATTTATTGGTTCTTTTCTACGGACCTCTCAGCTGCTGTGATACTTTTCAACATAACAACAAACCGCATACACTGTATTTCTAAATACATACTCACTGATATTGGGCTGAAGTCTATAAGAGGTTATTTTTAAATGCTTTATGGGCAGGTTAATGCATACATTTTACTTGTATGAAGTAAAGGAAGTATTGGAATCACAAGAAATTTTACTTATGAGATTTCAACAGAAATATCCATTTTGACTGCTCTTGAATCTATTTTGACAATTACTTTTTGTGTGACATTTGAGCTTTCAGGCAGAATAAAGGACTCTTTATTCCAAAATAAGTTGTAAAATGGATTCGAAGTGGATTTTTTTGTAATGTCTGTATGTACATTATCTTACAGAACTCCAAAACAATTAGTCGTACAGCATTGAATTTTGTTATATGGAACTGCTATAACAACTAGCTGTGTACCTCCCATTTTTATTGCAATTGGCAATATCAAAAGTGCATATGTATATATATATGCCCACTCTCCTTAACCCTTTGACGCATGGGGGTTGCGCCTTGAAACCACCAATTTTCGAAATTTTCCCGCTCTTTTTTCCAAACTGTTTGAGTGAAAACCGATTGACTACTTATCTTTTACCTCTAAATAACGCAAAATTACTGCAGAACTTATACATTTTTTAGGTCTTAGTATTTTAAATCGGATGCCTTTTAAAATGCATTTTCAGTGAGACAAAATAACTTCCTTTTATTTATATTAATAATTTAAAATTTAAAAATTTTTTATCGCACATCATTATTTCTATCATAAACAATAAAAATACAGCAATAATTAAACTGCATATATAAACAACCTATGTATATTTATGGTATTATGGTATTTCCTCTGTGGTTTCAGGGTGCAACCACTGCCCCACCAGAGAATTGCGTTACAATGCTCACATTCCCCTAGAGGCTCGGTGGTCGTGCCCTGAAACCACTGCTCTTTACAGTGGTGCTTGCTGCTTTCAAATAGAAGTGTTTATTTTCACCCGGATATAGATAAGGGGTTTTGAAACCACTGGGTTATTGTATTACCAAACAATACATGCACCTGCCCCTATAAAATATTTTTCATTTCCAAAAATTTTTCTCTGCGTTCAACATGCTTGCTTTCTGTGCTAGTACTGTGATTTTCTAAATTATTTTGTGTGGTTCCAAAAAAATTGCAAATATATTTTTGAATAATTAAAAATAGAAATCGTGCAAAAAATTAATTAAATTTAAAATATTTTGTCAATATTTTATTTTTTACTGTTGAGATTCAAAATGCCTCGCAAAGGGTTAGAAATAGCTGATGCATTAGCATTACTTGAAGAATTACCTTCAGATCCAGAATCAGTGGTCTCTGATGATGAAAGTGACGGAGAAGGAAATACTTCTTTACCCCCCTTCCCTCATTCTTATGAAAATATAGAAGATGAAATTGATGATCAGTCAGAAAATGATGATATAAATTTACCAGGTTCTTCTAGAATTGCAGATGTAACATGGAATAAAATGCGGAATGTAGTTGAATCCATTCCCGAATTTTCTGAGGTTTATGGCCCAACTGACGAAATTACCTCTATGGAAGATGCAAAACCCATGGATATATTTATGGCTTACTCCTGAATTCATGGATAAATAGTTTTTGAAACTAATTTTATTATATGCAACTCAAAAAGGTAAGCCGTTTTCACCTATAACTCTTC